TTAAGGTGAAGAAGTATAAGTTTTCGGCAATGAGGAGGATTTCATCCCATTCGTCTGCAATTAAATTACTTCAGCGTTTAAACAGGAATTAAATGAAGTCTATTCTGCGCAAATCTCAGATTGGCCACGTTCGTGGCACTACTGCGTTCCGTTCTATGGAGAATTTCCCTCAAACAACTCTCATTGCTCTTCATATGTTTGATCTACCTCACATCATGTTTAGTATATCGTTTAGGCTTATTCGTAACTAAATTCATTTGACAGGTGCATGCATGATGTATTCAGTAGAATTCCATATTATATATGTAAATACCAGCAGATATACCAGCAATACCTCCCACAAGATATTACAACATTGCATTAGCGAAACAACGTACATTTTGATTGTATCTTGACATTCTTTTGTATGTGACTGGACCATCCTCAAACGTTCACACAGTAAATGAGCAATCAGATCAAGTCTGGCATCAGCAGTGTAGTTCGATTCATGTTGAACTTCTGCTAACTGATTTGTGCTGTCGACTAATTCAACATTCACTTTCGAAGCCTTGAAATGTTATAAGGTATTACTATAACCTTCAAAAACCATTTAGGGTATTCATGTCTGCACTGATAACTACAAATGATTAATCACGTTTTGAAATTATGAACATTTTCACATTTTATCAATTGCGTCCCTCTGCTATTGTCACGTGATCTGCTTTATCTTCATACAAAGTTGTGTTAGCGATCGAACCGCTCAAAAATTGTCATTAGAACCATGCATAAATCGTTTCTTTCAATGGGCGCTTTTCAAAGACTTACGGTAGGTCGTAACTGTTCTTCTTTAATAATTTTCTGACTCTCACTGGATTGGTTCTGAGTTTCAGCAGATGATTCTTGACTTCGTGATGTAAATTGCTGGTTTTGTGAGGGTTGATTCAACGATGACGTCTGATTAATTGGATTACTTCTTCTCCTTTGCGGCCAAGGCTGTAATTGATATTTCCTTTTAGCACCTAAAACTTTTTATCAGACGCATTCCTACGTTATTCTTATGTGTTTGAAATTTGTTTCAGCTTTGTACAGCCATTAGAACCATGTATAAATCGTTCATATCAATAGGAGTTTGTCAAAGACTTACTGGAGGTCGTGACTGTTCTTCTTTAATCATTTTCTGACTTCCACTGGATTGGTTCGGAGTTTCAGCATATGGTTCCTGACGTTGTGCTGCGGATTGCTGGTTCTTTGACAGTTGATCCGTCGATGACGCTCGATTAACTGGACTGATTTCTCTCCTCTTCGCCCATGGCTGCAATTAGTATTTGCTTTTATCACCTATAACATTTTATCAGAGGCATTGCCATGTTATTCTTATGTGTTTGAAAATTTTATTCAACTTTTTACAAAGTTACGTTACCAATCGAATATTTCAGGAAATGCCGTCAGAGTCATGCATAAACCATTTATTTCAATGGTTTATATTTAACAAAATCACAAATTTAACAAAAACGATACTTGTTACTTACACATCGAGCGGTTGTTTTGTTGATCGCAGTTAGTGATCGGCGGAATGCTTATTTTGTAGACTTATGAATATTTATTGGATTGATATTTGGCTACGTTTAATTGTGCAAAGTATTCACGGCAACTAATTAAATACTCGGTTGTACTCACTTGGCCTACTCGCCTAGCCAGCGGGGTGGCTACAATCAAGGCTAAAACAGTGCGAACGGAAACGCGAGCATTGTGGCCAGCAACGTTACAAACGTTTGATAGCCTGGCCAATCCAGGTAATCCAGGTAACATTAATTCAAATAAATCATATTGCATTACTGAAAAACAAGCAAAGAATTGATTTCCACAAACGTACGGAATTGAGCGATATCATTTGACTTTCAGACGGTGCCTCGATCGAGTGTATCTCAAGAATCGGACTCACTCCGTCATATTGTGATTTTGGGTCACTGTTCAATCTGCACCATACATCGTACGCTACATTTGGTTTTACGTTCACAAGATCGTTGAAGAGGTGCAAAGGATCAGCCAGATACTATAACTAAGATTTGACATTTATAGATGAAGTGAAAGTATTCATTCAGAATCATTCGTTGATCCGCACATCCACTGCCGTTTCTCATTCCTTAAAGTTCAGCCCATAAAAACGTATAGTTAATGCATCAAATCATATTTTGTTACGAATTCCACTTTGTCAGGATCACGATTTGTTGCAGCACAATGCAAGATCCGGGTTCGGCCAAGTGTCAACGACAAACGTCGGTGATTCACAATTCGTGAGCATTTCATCGCCAATTCTCGTCTTCACTGATGCCATAATTTGCTTGTGCCGTTCAAATATTGCAATCGTTAGAAAATATTTCAGTAGACAAACACAATTGTTGAATTTGTATTGCCAACACAAAACAACAGAGAACTGTTATGAAATGCAATTGAAAATAACCTCGAAATGCGGTGACCATATTCTATGAATCGCCGAATCACTCTCTTGTAATTGTACATCTGGTGAACCGATGGCAGTAGTTCTTACGCAGATACACTTTGTTTGCGGTGACTGAAGGATATTATTAGCATTGGCAATATCCGCTGGGATCTTTTGCGTGAGATGAAATGGTCAAAGATGGTGAATTTCATTGAAGAATGAGAAAAAGCGATAATTCACAGTAATGTTCTTCATGAGAACAGGTAAAAATGAGCTTAAACGATCAAAAGTTTATTGTCAGTGAGAAATTGAGAACGTGATAAATGGAAATTTAAGCGGAATTCGAATTCGAGTATTATACTTATTCTGCGATGCAGTCAGCACTAGATGAGTGAAAGGAAAAGATATATGAACGCACTCCACTTCCCTCCCTCGAGCTGTTCCAAAAAGTTTTCGTTGGCAATACCGAATCAATGATCTGAATTCGACAACCTTGACCAAATGCGGTGTTCTTCTGAAATTGTTCAGCTTTTTACTTCCCACTTCATCATCAAATGAATAAGCTGCATTAGTCTGCAACACTTCATAAGCCTTAACTATCACCCAAGCATGGAAAAATAAGAAGACTTGCATCAGGGTAGGCATTCAGTATAAAAACATTATGAGGAATGTGATCATCTGAGTACCAATATAACAGAATTCGATTGCTAAATGAATCACATGGTGTAAACAAGTGCATTTTGAATGAAACATAAAGAGACTTCGGTTTGAAACAGACCAATTGTCGATATTTTATATTGACATTCACCGTTAAGATATTATTATAATTTAGAAGAGCCTTTCTCAGAACAGGCGTTCGGTGTAAAAACGACACGAACAATCCCATTATGCGGAGTACCAATGCAGCAAAATTCATTGTACAACTTTCTGATGTGGTACACTCTTCCTCGAATCCAACATCATTTTCCAGAAATTCGAATTTTATCAAAACACTCAAGGGATTTTCTTGGCAATCAGCGATTCATCAGTGCGATCAAATAGGGAAGTACAAACTTGAAATGCAATCCAGTCACCCGTCACAACGATCGAGCGCATTTTGTTACGGGACAATCGAATTGTTCGACCCTTGTGAAGTATTTCAATCTCTTGATCCTCTACATTTATCACCCAACCAACCGACCAGCTCTCAGAACTCATTATTTGTTGGGTATCCTAAAAAAATCTCCCATTACCAACAGTGTCTAGATGAGCGCGATGCTTACTGAAAATCAACATCTTAATGAAATCAGACTCATTGAGCTCCGACGTCGTTCAGTCTGGAAGCTAAGTGTTATCAGGATAAGAAAATGACTAAATTAAGGTGCATCGCACATTCTGTAACATTCGAATACCTCCAGACTTGCTCTATTAATTCAATTAATGGTTCTCTCCAAAATATTTAAGCCATATTTGACACTGACTGTGCATTTGCACGAGTAAAAACAAAAGTTTCAAAAACTATCTGAATTAATACGATCAACCGTCGTACAATTGATCAGTTCAATCAAATAAGAGAAGTATAAACTCGAAATGCAATCAATGGCAAACGCTATCATTGGAATAAAAGCATAATCACAACAATCA